ACATGATAATGATTTCGAAGAAATTTCAAAAATCTCGGTCATTCCTACAAAAGAAGAAATATTATGTGAAAGGATGCATTTTTTTGCCTTTTACAGTTCCTGATGCACCTCATTTTTTACTTGATGGAATGGCTAAATTATTTGATATTCAATTTCGTTTGTTAAGAGAGGACATGTTAAACCCTATTCGTGGCAGTATATCGAGCTGAATGGCTTTATTAACACAAAATTGGAACTCCTCTTCTAACAACAACAATTTTTCCAATGAATTAAAGAAAATTCGAAATGAGTATGCTGATTTACAAGTATACACTGACATTAAATTTGTAAATGTTACCTGTGATAGAAGAAAAGGATTTTCTTGTACTATAAGATTTACCCCTACAAGAATGCGCGGTATAAAAACCGAAAGAATATTGGGAACGAAGTAAAAAGGTATTAAATGGTTGTTTAATTACTTTATTGCTACCAAACCAATATGCCAAACAGCAAACTAACGAGTCTACCAGTGGAAGTACTTTTATCACTAGCATCCAAATGTATTCACCTTATTTTGGTGTGATAATATCAAGAAATGAGAAGGTTTTAGCTAAATGTCCTGATTATGCTGATATTAATATTATTTTACAGATCTATCAATTTATCATATTGCATTAAATGAAATGTCAAATTCAAAAGTCCCTACAGAAAATAGATTTATGGTTGAATCACCTGGAGTGTATTTAGAAGCTTACTATCATGTTCTTAAAACTATTCAAACTACAAATTCTTCTTCCCTTCCCTTTGAAAAATATCTTACACCTAATATTAATGATGGAAAAGAGAAAGATAATAATATATCAAGTAATGCTATAGATTTTGAAGTTGAACCTCCACTATATACTAGAGCACCTAGTTTTGAATTTGATTTATCAGTTATATGTATAAATAAAAATCAAAATTTGAAATTAAATGTTGCAAAATAGACAATTATAATGAAGTAGCAAAAAAATTAATGAAAGTTGAAAATTAGACGAAAATCAAGGTATATAGTAAAGTAAGATTTAAAAAAAAAATTTATTAACATATTTTTATAATTTCCTACATTAGCGAATGCTTTAATCTCTACTTTGATACGTGAAATTGCTTTAATTGAAAAATCATCTGATAATGAAAAAACTGTAGTTAGTATTGAAATAATAAAAGTATTATTGGCTAAAAAAAAATTGAAAAATATAAATTGGTCCTATTCTCACTATTTGTTTTACTAATCATGCTCTTGAACAATTCTTGAGGTACAGTATAATGAATTATTCTTATTCTATTGAATCTAAAATATACCATATTATTTTTAACATATTTTATTTGTTTATACTTTCCTTTTATAACATTTGCTTGATGTAAAAATAATGAATATAGTCGGGTTAAAATCTCAAACAAAATCTGATAAGATCAAAGAATTTTGTCTTGAAGAAGTTTGCAAAAGCTGTACTATTATATGAGAATTTAAAAGAAATTGAAGATAAAGTTATAAAATAAAAAGTATTTTATTTAAAAAAGGGTTGAAATAGGCTGATATATGATAATATTTGATGAATGAAGAAAGAATATTCTATAATACTTTTTGTAAAGCAAATAATAGTAATTTACCTAGCTGGATTTTCAATACTAAAGAAAGGTTTACTATCAGAAAAAAATAGAAGAAATGACCTTTATTTGAGAGATAGGTAAATGGAAAAGATATTAAAATAATTAGAAAAATACAGAAAGTATTTTCAATCTATCATAAAAAATAAGAAAAATAAAAAGGATCTAAGCTCCAAATACATATGATACATTAAATATTGAAGATAAAATCAAAGAAATTACAAGTGATGATAGTGAATCACAAACTGATTATAAGATATTATAATAGAAAAAGATTATGTACAGACCTCCGCCAAAAGTCTCTGAATGCTTTTTGACTCAATATAAAACTTAAAATTTTAAAGTTTATTAAAAAAATTTATTAATTTATTTATTAATATATGATATGCTATACATTTGGTACTAAATAATTAGTACTTGGTCAGACCTTTATTTGCTTTATCACAGCCTGAATTTGTTATGACAAATCACTTTAGTTGGCTTCGCTGT